CGGTTAATGATACCGAGTATGTTATGGTTATGGTCTTCAGTAGTGTAGTGAGTTATGTTATGCTTAATGAGAAATTCTGTGATTTCGTTGCTGAGGTATGCACCGTCTTGGTCTGATGTTAAAATACTTGGGCTATGTTCTGCTACAAACTTTTGTAAAACTCTTAACACTTCATGAGTTCCTTTATTTCTCATTATATACGCAAAAGCTTTGCGAGTGTTAACATTAATGAAGATGAGGAATGGTTTATGTCCTCCTTTTCTGCTTTGAATGAGAGTGTCAAATTGGTATGCGTCAGGAGTGTTGGAGTAAATTGGTAAAAAGTAGTCGTAAGGGTTTATTTTTGTTTGATGTACAACATTTTTGTCAAAGAACCTTTTCACTTCAGCTCTGTTAGTAAATCCCAACTCTTTGCAGCTTCATTGAATTTTTAAATGACCTCCATGGATGTTGTTCGAATACTTCTTTCAAGCTCATTTATGTAAAGTTAAAGATTTTAACCAACTCGTATCCAAGCGTGCATTGTTATATAAGGAGGCATATAATCTTTTCCATTACCTGCTGGGTCTGTAATACCAGCTACAACATGTGTATGATTTCCTGCAGTTCCACAGAAAATACCTGTGCTAACATCTTTGGGTCATTGAGATATCATATCTATTCATTCCCTGTCTATTCGAACCCGCTGCAAGATTTGTATAACCTCTTTTTGTTATTGAATGTGAATGGTTTCCTTCCACAGATGTTCTTCCACTGAACCTATGCATATGTGAAGGAAGGTTTTCAATACCTATTTTCTTTGAACCTCCCATCTTCATTGACTGCGTATTAGTGTAGAATGGAAAACTGTCAACTATTTCATACCATCTACCACCAAATAAAGTGTTTGGATTTATTGGATTCATAGACGTATAAACAGCTCCTATAGGATATATTAAATCATATATGCTCATAACTCTATAAACATATTCTAAAGAACTTATGTCATTAAATACCATTTGGAATGTATCTCCCGGATGAAATGTTGCATTTGTTCCACTTTTATAATGTAATGTTAGTTCAATAGAATTATCCAAGAAAAATTCAAAAGTATCTGGTTGAAGACCTCTAACAAATTCAAATGGAGTTGCTGGTTCACCATTTATAATTTCTGTTGTAAATGTCATTGTATCTGGTTTCGAAAATTTCTTTGTTAGTTCTGCATCCACATAAGTTTTGTCAGCTTTCTTATCTAACATTGCGGGTAGTTCATGTGCTTCAAAGTTTCTGGCATGACTTTCAATATTCCTGCAACTGTTATCTAAATTGTTAAGAGTATCTTTTACGCTTGTACTCGGATTCTCTAAAGGTGCACTTGAACCAAGGTCAAAGTTCAATATTATGTCGTCTGCTCTAACAGTAGTGAAGGATTTATGTGTATGGTTCTTGTCAGCTTTACTGTCTAATGTAGCTTGAAGTTCATTTATATCGGAGATGTTGTGTTTATGAGATTTCAAAACTTTGTTCGTTGCTTCGAGTTCATCTTTGTCAGCTTTACTTTTAATAGCATCTTCAAACGTTATTTTTGACTTAACTCTCAAAGTAAATCTTGGTTCAACTAGTACACCGTTAACATTGAAAGTAGAGGCATAAATTTCACCGGTATAACCAAATGCTTCTGGTGCTTTAGCTACATCATACTGTACAGTACAGCTTATGTCATAACCTTTAGCACGAATGTATTTATATCTTCTTTCATTAACATTTTTTGTCTTCGCTTCATCACTTCGTGTTAAATATCCATGGTAGTCCGTTATAATCTGTTCATCTGAACTTATATAATGAACATGGTTTTTATCTGCTTTACTATTTAATGTAGCTTGAAGTTCATTTATATCGGAGATATTGTGTTTATGAGATTTCAAAACTTTGTTCATTGCGTCAAGTTCATTTTTGTCCGCTTTACTATTTAATGTAGCTTGAAGTTCATTTATATCGGAGATATTGTGTTTATGTTCTTTATCTGCTTTTTCGGCTAATTTCTCTTCTATCTCATTTATTTCAAGTTCATGCCTACCACCACCTCCCGAAGAAGTATTTTTCTTCAGCTCTTGAAGAACGTCCACTTCGCCATCTTTGGTGTCAATAATGAGACTTTGAGTTAAAACCTTTCCTGTCTTAATGGATGTTTGTAAAACTTCTTCTTCACCGTGTTCGGGGTCATGGTCGTCATCATATCTTGTGAAATCAGAGATGTTGTCATACATTAAGCATATCTGTCTCAAAAGTTCTGCTATTTGAAACTGGAACGAAAGATATACAGAACTTTCATCATCTCCTAAAGTCAAGTCTGCTTTCTTAAGTATTTCTTGAATGTATGCAATGAGAACAGAGTACCTTGGAAAATATTCGAACAATATTTCATTAGCTGTTGGTTTTGGTGGTTCTTCTGGAGTTTCTGTTGTTTCAGTTCCTTCTGTTGGAGTTTCTGCATCTCTTGACTTCAATGCTCTTGCTCTCAAAGACCTAAATGTTAGAGCACCGGGTTTTACAAAGGACTTTATAAATGCTTTAATAGTTCCTGGTAAGTTATTGTTAGCATTAAGTAAGTTCCTTATGCTTCCATCATGTACGTCCATAGCACTATGTAAAAAATCTATACTTTTCTTGTAGTCAGCAATAGACTGACTGTGATTTTTTAAAGATTTGTCAATACCTTTAAGCCAATCTTCATGCATGTCTGATACTGAGCCAAGAATATCATTTGCTTCCTTTAGTGTATTTTGTGCTTGTCGTAAAGTATCCAATCCCGTACGTGCATTGTTTGCTATACGTCTTACAGTATCTATTTGACTCCTTGTTTCTTGCATCCAACCAGATAAAGTTTTAATAGTATCCGAACCATTTGAAATGAAGTTCAAAGCATTTTTAACGTCATCTAAAACTTCTTCACCAAGTACTGCCCATATCTTTCCGATTTGGTATTGAAGAACTCCATATGAAGCAGCTGTTAAACCAGTATTTATAAGGTCCCATATCCATGATTTAGCAGTTTTTCCATCCTTTCCATCCTTTCCATCCAAACCGTTTTCGCCTTGAGGTCCTTGTATTCCTTGTATTCCTTGTATTCCTTGTATTCCTTGTGGTCCTTGAGGTCCGGTGTCACCCTTCTCTCCTTTCAGTTCATCTTTATGTTCGTTATAATATTCTAATGTCATAAGGTGTACATCATTACTGCTACCAGCAACGCCAAGAATTTGTTTCTCATTCATGACTAAATTCTTTAGGCATTTAATGTTGTCGTCAAATCGAAAGCTCTTTAACAATTCAATGAGAACATTCAGTACTTTCACTAATGAGGCATCTACTGTAGAATTTATATATTGCACCGTTCCATCATTTATATAGGAACTTTGCTTGTTGTAATGAATGGGTCATAAGTGTTAAAAGTATCGAAATCAATGACTTTTTTAGTTTTTCCATCGTCAATGACTAAATCATTGCCTTCAATGGTTAAAGTTGAGTTTTCGTTTACTAGTTCAAGTGCTCTTCTTGCTTCATTTGTTTCATACGCATATGCAGCAATAGTCATATTTTAATGAGAATAAAATGTTGTTCTATTTGCAAAGTACAGACCCAAACGAATACGGGACAGTAAAGCTACAAACAAACTTAGGTCTTCAGAATGAAGCACTTGCTTTCAGAGTTGTTGACTTCAATACTATCGCAACTTTTGCCATAACAGATGAAACAGATTTCATAGAGATTGAAATAGATGACAAAAGAAGTGTTATAACATTTCCTAACAGAGCAGAGTATAGAATAGATAAAATTGCTGGAGTCATAGATACTCTCATAAATGAAGAAACTATTGACAACATAGATATCGAACTCTCTTCTGAGGGAACATTGAAGTTCAGTAGCAAGAAAGAGTTTAAGATAACACGAATGAGTCATAGAGTTCAATTGCTTCTGGGAGCATACCATATGACATTTCCTTTGAAAAGTGTTGACAAAACGATTGAGATGAAATCTGTTCCATACGTATGTTATGGTAATTGTTTATACATTGAGTCAAAAATAGCTAATGTCACAGGCATTTCAGGAGTTAATAGTAAAGGTTCAGTAGAATATAAATCTTTCTGTTATGCAGTCAATTCAATGTTCATTCCAAACGTTCCTGTCATAGCAACTCATTTAGGTAAATGGGTTCGCATTAGTCCTTATAATTTGAAAGACATGCAATTCAGACTAGTTGACTTTCAAGGCGAGCCTGTAGAACTGAAGGCACCAGTGCGAATGACTGTTGAAGTTGACTTTTTAGAAAATATTAAATGCAACAGCTTACAAGAGAACTCAGAGCTAAAAATATAAAGTATGAATGTTATGTATTAGGTCATGAACTTTGGTTGTTGCTGTTTGATGAAACAAATGTTAGTTATGTCAGTCAAGAGAACAGAAAAAGGCGTCAAAGGCGCCGAGCGCAAAGCGCTATATTGTGTTAGTGAAAACTGCACCAAGTCAATAAGATTAGGTTTGCATTATGAAGATGAGTTCGATACTGTTGAAGAAGTTTTGGATAGATATTACAAATTGCTTTAATTTACTAAAACATATTTCAAGCAAAGTTTATATTCTGTTGAAAGTTTTGTATACTCGTTCGAATATTTATACTTAAACTCAACTCCTGTAGTTCCTGGTGTTTCAATGATGCGGATGTTACCTATTTTCATGAATATGGAGTTTGACCACAGCATTCGATTTCAGGGTCGAGATAGTCAATGACACATTGCTTTCCTGTTATTCGTGAGATAACATTTTCAAGGTCCTCCTTTGTTAGAATTATTTGGTTCTTGCTTATAAGATTTGTCAAAAGCTTCTTATCGTCTTTGAGTAAAATTGTTTGGTATAACTGAAGAAGGTAATGGTCTACGTTATCTGAAGGATTTGTTTGAACATTTGTGTAAGGGTTGTCGTTGGCTTCTCTTGAAAGAATTTGGTCCAGTGGTGGATACTCTAACTTAACATCTGATGTAGCGTTAGCGTTTGAAGCTGTGTTTAAATTCACGGATTTCAGCTCTGGTTCTGGTTCTTTCAAACACTCTGAACTATAGTTCTTTATGACAATATTGTTTGTCGTTCGTGAGTCAACATTTGATGTTGGTTCAATTGGAACATTAACGGCACCAGCTAAGATGGATTTGCTTCTCATTTCATATAGAATAAAAACCTTTTATATGTATGAAATGAACAATATACTCGACAAGGGTTTGAATGTAAAGCTAACGAATGAAAATATTGTTGAATTCACTGAGACAGGTGCTGTGTATAAAGATGTAGAACTACTGAACAAAAGAGCTAAGGGAAGAAGCAGGAACATGAACAAAGGGTGGAAGCCTATAAAAATTTATGTCAATGATGGCTCAGGAGGTTCAAACATAAAGTATGCAGAAAGTTATAGAGTTTATGCTCTCAAAGGTGAAAAGCCTTCATTTAAGAACAGCTATTCTAACGCATATCCTCAAAAGCTAACGGATGGAGAAGTGGATGATATGAATGACAGCAAAAATATTAACAGAAATGGCGACAGAGATGCATGGAATTTGTTTACCATCAGTCAATTGAAGGTTAAACTTTAAAACAATGTTGGTCGTTCCCATGGAATATTTTTGACTTTAATGGTATTAGTCATGATATGAATCTCAAGGTATGAACGAGGAGAGATGAGAGACTTATATGCTTCCCAAATTTCTTCAAAAGGTAATGTTATACCTGACTGTTTCCAAATGAGTTCAATATCATAACGTGAGAAACCTTGAAAGATAACGAAGTCAGTTATGAGACGTTTTATGTTTAAAGCAAGGAAACGCCATGTTTGCATAAGTATTGCTACAGTTAAGTGGTAATGTCTGACTTTAGTAATGATGTTAGCTAATGGTGAGTCTGGTTTTGACACTAAACCTTTACCAGCGAAGTCGTCACAAACGAGCAGAGTGTTTGATGGATACTTTTTGAAGGGGTATTTTGAAAGTTTTGACAGAATGTAGTTTGTCAGTCGTTTCATATCGTAAACTCCTGAGTACTGACGTAAGTGGTGTTTGTCAATAATTCTTTCCATCTCCTCAGAAGTCTTTTGCATTCCTGACTGTATAAATTCAACGATGGCATAATATTTCCTCTTACGTCGAATGTAACGTTGAAGAAATTCAATGAGTTCACTGTCTGGAACTTTAACGACAGAGGCTTGAACTTTTGACATAAATGTTTTCGCTGTTGAGTCCATAGAGTCTGAAGTTGCTGATATAATGATTTGGTCATAGTAAGAGTCGTTTCCTAAACGCTCTGTTATGAGTATATGACGAATGAGGTTAAATGTCTTACCTGAACCCATCTTTCCACAATAGAAATACACACCATTTGAACAGAACTCATAGTCCTTGCTGAAAGGAAGAATGAGAGAAGAGTTAAGTTTGTCTGTAGTTTCATTCATGTCTTCATCTACGTCATGTATTAAATGCTTCATTTTATCTCCATTAAAAATGCAAGTCAGAAATATTCAGAACATAGCACCGAGTCTAACTGACAAGAGTATAAAGATATACTATGAACATGTTATGATGAAACCAACCAAAATTCAAGAAAGTCAGTATACTTATGAATATCCAAGGCACTGGGTAGAGTATGTAGGAGGTGAGAAAGCTATTGAAATCAGACAGGTTCGAAGTATTCCAGCAGGAAGAACAATATTATTGAAGAACTTTAATGTTTTGAGATATAATGATGAGACAAAGAAGCAAGATAGTTTTCCTGTTGCTGTGTATGTGAACTTAGATACAGGAGATGACATGAAAGTTTTTAATACAAAGCTTCAAACTGTAGTGAGAGAACAACTGACTGCGGAAGGGCATCCATTACCTTCAGAAGTTACCATAGCATATAATTTTGAAACAAACTCAATAGATTTTAAAGTCATCTCTGCAAAGAAGTCAGGATTTACATTTAATGAAGCAGATGTATATTCGAATGAAAACTTCAAAGCTATTGCATGGTTAGATAATGACGATTGCTTTAAGAAAATATTTAAATACAGTGACTCAACGATGTCAATAGATGACCTTCGTGGAATGTTACCATCGACGTTTACAGTAGAAGGTTCAGCAGGATTGCTTACAAGATTGTCAATTGGTGGTATTTGGTCTCGTGAGAACATTGTTATAAAATCCAGTATAAGTGAATTTGCTGAAGAATCTATATTATGTCTTTCAAACTACATGTATTCGCCGCCGAAGCATTATAGTATAACAAACTTTGTCAGTAAGTTTAATATAAGACTTGTTGAACCTTCTTCAATGAAAGATGTTGTGCTACCCAAAGACGGAAAGGATGGACTCATTATTGAGATGATTTTAATAGCATATTAAATGAGCTTGTTTTTAAAGGTCATTCATGATGAAATAACTGTTGTAGAAGATGTTAGCAATTGTTCAGATATTTTATTGAGAATAGATGAGATAAGAAAGAAGTTTATGAATGAGAATGTTTATGTTTCATTGACTTTCTCCAGTAACGAGAACTTTTATGAGATAATATTGAAGAGAGATGATTTTAATATGGTGTAAATGGTAGCTTGGGCAGCTTTAGGCGCAATGGGAACAAAAGCATTAGCATTTGGAGCAAAAGCACTTGGAGCTTATGACGCAGTAAATAAAATGAGTGGAGGAAGGGTTTCGAAGACATTAGATGCAAATAAAGGAAAGATTGGAGGCTGGGTTGCAAAGAAGTTAAGATTAAATAAAATAGGGCTCATAAATAAAGCATCCAATTTGGTTGCGACTGAGTCAGAAAATGCTTTAGGAAAGGACGATGAGTTTGCAAAACACGCAAAAGACTTTAATGACCAGATGAAAGGTGAAACAATGCATTTAAATAGAGTCGATGGAACTAAAGAAAATGTTTCTTCTCCACCAGTAGTTTATCCATACGGACCTTATGGAATGTATGGAAACCCTTACGAAAGACCATTTGACCCATTGACTGGTGGAAGTAACTGGTATCATTACGGACGAAGAAGAAAGACAGTTAAGCTGGAGACAGACGTGAAGAAAGCAACTAAAAAGAAACCAAGGAAGAGAGTTATAAAACAATGAATTCAAGTGGGTGAAAAAACAGGTGAAAAAAGAGGTGAAATCTCACCTCTTCACCTAAATTTATTTTTGTGCTATGTTTTCATACGTGTGGGAGTGGTGATATCATTAATTTTTAAGTTTATTTTATTATTTAGCGAGAACGTTTATTTTTATATAAATGACAGAACAAAAGCAACTCATTCGAATTCCACAGTATAACAAACATACATTTAAACATTTATTCTTCCTTCCTGAACATAACATGTTCTTTCAAATACATCCGAGACCAGTTGACTTTTCATTGACTGTGTATAAAGATAGAAATAGTTATATCATTAAACCATACGATGACGAAGGTAAGTTATGTAAATTGTACGTTAAGAAGTTAGAGAAAGTTTATGGCTTCAAGTATGACTACAATAGGGTTAACACTGATGATGAAGATATTGAGGAAAATTTATGAGAACATTAGTGAAGTCGTTAGTGAGAACGATAGTGAGAACGTTTATTTTTACATTAGTGAGTTCGTTAGTGAAGTGGTTGGCGGCTTTGTAAATATTTAAGGTTAAGTTAGTTTTTGCGTTCGTGTTGTAAAATATACGTTACTGGTTTTGTAAATATTTAAGGTTATATTGAGTAAGGTGGAACGCAATGCCGCCGTACCCAAGATAACCATACTAACTCCACAACCACTTCATGTTGAACGAAAGTCTTACAAACCCATTCTTTGGTAAAAGTAAGTGCAACATTGTCAGAGCTGTAAACATTCTTTTCGAGAAAGGTTTGTTGGAACCAATTCCAGATGACAAGCTGACAGAAACTTTTGTACCAAAAGACGAAACAAACTTTTCATTGTTAGCAAGACCAAAAGTTGTTCCAGACAAAGTTCTAGTACAAAAGAAGTACACAGTTCCACAAGGAGTTGGTTTGTTCGGATACCAACCTGAACCAGAAGAACTTCCAATGAGGTTGCAAGAACTTCAAGATGCTATAAACAAACTTCCATTGAGACATCCAATTGACGTCAAATTGTATTGGAGAGCATCTGAGTTAGGTCAGAAGGTTTTATATGAAACAGGTTGCTTCGACGATGTTTATGAGATAACAGGAGAAGTTTCTCAGAAGATAAGAGACTCACTTGAATTTCCACAAACTGGACCAATTGGTTGCGACAAGTTCGACTCAGATGAAAAGATATACTATGTCGACCTTAACGCTGCATACATGAGGTTTGTCCAATATATTCCGACTGGAATTCCAAACGAAGATGGTGAGTTCCCGGGAAGGAACTATACAGTTGGAAAAGTCATACAACAACTGTATGATATTAGGAAAGCTTCAAACCCCAAACTTGCAATGACACTCAAATTGCTTATGAATTCGACATGGGGATATTCCATTAAGAAACCTCAAGAGATGAAGAGTAAACATTATGAGAAGGTCGACAACTTTGTTGAAAGGTTTTCTCCTTTTGTTTTGAAGTACGAATTCACTCAAGGTCAAAGTGGCTTAGTAACCACATTAAAACCTATTGTCGAACATTGGTCTTACCCTCAGTTCGCAAAGGCAGTCCTTGACAACTACAATGAGTTCTTCTCGGAAGTCAAATCGAAAGTCAAGGTTTACTATGAGAACATTGACGCACTCATGACGAACGAAGAAGGCTATAACAAACTCATTGAAATGGGTTTAGTCGGTGAAAAGATGGGCTGTTTTAAGCTAGATAAGGTATTTTCCGAAGTTCATGTCCTCCCCAAGCGTAAGTACTGGGGTGTTAAAGAAGATGGTGAAATAGTTAAACATTGCATGAAGTAAAAACGTTTTTCAAAAAAGTGACATTTTTTAATGGCGTACATCCCTGAGCGCTTCGTCCAGTTCAACCAAATGTTGGTCTCGGACCCAGGCAAGAGATATTCCAGGCTCGAACTCAACCGTCTCTTCAAAGAATGGATTGAAGACTACAGAGGAGATGAGTGGTTGACAATTGAATTTGCTCGGGCTTGGAATTGCTACAGAAGGGTCTTAGACGTGGACCCAAGACTCACGTACAGAGGTTGGGATGTGGTCTTCACATTCCAAAATTGGTACCAATACCAAAAATAAAAACTTAAATTTACTTGGGGTTTCCCCCTAAAATATTTTTTTTTACTCTTAGAACCACTCGAGGTTCTCCTTACGGTTGTTGAGCTTGTCACCGTCAATGTGTCTGACCTTCGTCTTCTTGTCTGGATTTGGAACCCATTGAATTGCGACAAGCTTGCCCATGGAGATTGAACCGCGATTCCGAAGGTTAAGGTTCAAGTGTCCCAAGTTGTTGAGGACTGGGGTAAGAACCTTGCCTGTCTCCTTGTTGCGGATTTGGTATGGGTAGGGTTGGGAAATTTCGTAAGCGTCATCGGCAACAAGGGTTGCCCAAACTTCCTCTTCTTCGTGTTTCTCTTCTTCCTCTTCTTCCTCGACAATTCCTTCTTCAATTTGGTACTCACGAAGTACGGTGTTGCATGTTCTGTCCTTTCCGAGTACCTTCCAGATGGCGTCTATCTCTTCGAAGAAACGGTATATGAGTCTGGCAAGGTCTCGGTTTTCTCTCTCGTAATTGCGCAACGATTCTGAGAAATCGTTCAGGACTTTCTCATTGGAAGCTTTTTGCTTGAGGACATCGGCTTTGAGATTGGTCATCTCTGACATAAGACTAAGTTGGAGAGTCTTAATGGTGTTTGTCAGATGAGCTTTCAATTGGGCAATTTGAATTTGAATTGGGCGCTTGTCTGGCAACCTTGAAAGGACATCTGCCATTGTGTTCGGCTTCGGTGCTTGTTCGGACATCGAAAAAATGAAGTGGTTTGAGAATGGCGGTTTTACTTCAAAAAGCTTGTTATGACAGTTATGTCATACAACAAGTTTAAAATAATATCTTGTTCTTCTTCTGAACGTTTGTTGTCTCTTCCGATAAAAGTTTCGAACATGAGAACCAAAAAACGTTTTTTGAGGAACCGAAAGAGTTCAGGCAAATTTTCATATTCTGGATATGTTGGGAGCAGTTCAAAACATCTGAGCTGACTTTCGGACAAAATTGGGACAATGTCAGAAAATTCATCTTTGGTCGGACTGCTTGAAGGTAAGTCCCTTACATGTAAGTAGCTCTGGTAAAGTCTTCTCATTTCTGCTAACTTTTGGAGTATAGCTTCGTAGTTTAGAAGTTTCAATTTTAATTGTCTTATTCCACTCTTTACTTCTAAACGGTAAGTATCCATGAGGTCAAGAGTAGCTTTGGTAGCTTTAAGTGGAGCTATCTTTTCTTTGACTTGTGCAATTTTGGTTGCAATTGTGGTTTGAGCTCCTTCAAGTTCGCCGTCTATGTCGTTCTCAACACCTTCAACCATAGCTTGAAACTCTTCATCGGTCCATTGAGTTTGGTGTGGGACGAATTTAACTTGCTTCATTCAAAAAATGAAAAAAAATGTTTTTACTCTAAACGTGCCATATAGATGGCTATAAGAAACTTACCAGAAGGCTTCTTCTTCACATGAGACTCTGGTAACTTGAGAGTTCTTGTTGGAGTTGGGTCTGGAATTTCAATTCTCTCTCGAGCGCGCATTCCCCACTGTCTTTCTTGCCACCATAAACTGTGTATTGACCGAACTTGCATTTGCAGGAAGACCGGTCACTACAAGGTTCACAGTTGAAATAGTTGTACTCATACCTGGTGAGTACGAGTGTGAGTAAAAACATAAAAAAGTGAGTTAAAATGAGATGTTTACTGAACTGGCTGAATGTCGCCTTCTGTAGTTATAAAGAATTGTTGACCAGAGAAGTGAAGGAGAGACTGAATTGCCAATTTCATATGGGGTAGGGGGTTCTCCTTGTTTGGTATTTTTATCCAAGGACGTTTGTTTAGGAACTTAACAAGAGCTTCTCTTTTGGCGTCCTTTATGCCATCGTAGGCTGTCCCGTCTGGTATTTGAATTGAAATTCCAGTCGAAGTCTCGAGCTGAAGTGTAGACCTTCCAGAAATAGTGGTGAACTTGACCTTGGGCTTCATTACCTTGCGCAAGTAGTCTTTTACGCAGTCGTTAATTTCAATTAGGTAAATTGCCTCGTCAAGTCTTTCTTGCATTCCAAGTTCTTCCATCCGACAGGAAAATATTTTCCCGACAAAGGGAAAAATTTTTCCCGACAACAGGAAGAACTCTTCCAGTTGTCCGTCCGTAAACCATTCAAATTTTCGAAAATTGAGAACTTTTTGGTCGAACTTCAGAAAAAGTTTTTCCTTCCGACAGAAAAAGTTTTTCCTTCCGACAGAAAAAGTTCTTCCTTCCGACAGGAAAAATTTTTCCTTCCGACAGGACACAAACGGATGACTGACGTTCCTCTTCCTGAATGCCTTCCAAAGCCAGAAGAACCGAAAGCTGCAGAACCACAACAGTCTCCTCAGCAACCTCAGTTCCAGCAAGTACCTCCGAATTACTACAAGGTTGTAAATTTCCCATGTCCTTTTTGCCTTTGGGCTCTGGTCGCCCATCTCAGGTAACCTATATCCTAGAAAGATTTTGTCATAGTTTGTATTTGAGTCTTCGCTTATTGTTTGCATGACTCTTTCCTGAGTTTCCGGTTCAAGCTCTTCAAACAGAGCTTGTCCATATGGAATAAGCTCGTTTCCAAATATATGTTTTTGTAGCCATTCTGGTTTTCTTTCCATGTAACCAATAATATCTTTTGTGAATTGGAAAGCTTTTACCCAACGTTTCAGTCTTGCGTCATTTATTTCTGTAGTTGGTTTTATTTTGTCAAGGAACATGTTTTTCAATACTAACATTTCATTTGGTACTGTCCATTTGAGTTTTCTTAAATATTCATCCCTTCTCGGTTCATTGTCTGCAAAGTAAGTTTTTATGATATTTTGCAAACTTTCGTTTGCAAGGTCATGTACAATAGGTTCTCTTCCTTCTCTCTCCCTAACTTTCTTTCTAAACTCTTCACCAAATATACCATCTCTATGGTTCTGTGTAGTTCTTTGAGATAAATGTTCTAGAACGTCAGGTGTTATATTTCCCTCAGCCATGTTCATTTCATACTGGTCCAAAATATCTGCATCTTTCATATCTTTCAATGGCATTAAAGCCGCGCTGAAAATACCCGTTATATCTGGTTCACCATTCACTTCCATTGCGTCTACAACTTCTTGGAATTGAGGTTGTAAGTTTATGAACCACCTATCCGGATTAGCTTTATGACCCCATCTCATTGTAGTTCCATAGTCTGCAGAAACAAAAGTAGGTTTGTTTCCATATTGGTTAGGTTCTGAATGAACTTTAAACAATGTTTCATTTCTATATGTTTTGTTGAAATTTAACCTTTTATTTTCACCGAGTTCAGCCAAAGATTGAACGTTATATGGTCGTAAGTAAAAAGGATTATTGTATTTGCGTACATTTTCTTTCAGTACTTCCATTCTATGCTGAATATTTTCATCTGATGTTGGAGTCTTTTGTATGTCGGTGAACATTTTTTGATATTCTTCTACTATGTCAGCCGAATTTTTCTTAGACTCTTGGAAAGATTCCATATTCTCCGCATACACTTGTTGAGGGTCAAGATTTTTCGGCTGTTCCAAATCTTCATCTAGTTCTGTGAAGTTAGTTTCCAAAGGAGGGACTTGTTCGTTTCCTTCAGGCTCTTCTAGCTGTTGTTGCTGAACTATTTCTTCCATGTCTGGTTGTATCTGAACTTCTTCCTGTTGAGTTTCTTGTACCTCATCTGCTGGCATTTCATATATTCCGAGACCGTTTTTAAAAAGTTCCCTATCTAAGTCATCCGGACTCATAAACCTTTCTTCTTTCGTTCCGTCTCTATTTTTTACGCGTTTCATGAAGAGAGTTGAATTATCATTTAGCTCTGACATCAAATATCTCGGAGTAAATTCATTCATGTCATTTGGATGATATGCTATTAAATCATATCCCTTAGCGAGCTTGTATTTTCCAGGTTTGAGATTATATCCGATTTTATGCTGAACCATAAAGCTAAATAGGTTCGGGTCAGTATTTCCTTCCTTGAACTTTCTAATAGCTTCTTTATATCTGTCACTAAAGTCAAGAGTATCTGGGTAACCATAATCTTCCTTAAGCATTTTTAAGAATTCTTGGTTTCCTTTTTCTCTACTTCTTTTATGTCCTTGCTCTGTTTGTGGTTGTTGTTGTGCTGGTTTTGGTTGTTGTGCAGGGTTTTGAACTGTTGGTTGCTGTGCTGGATTTTGAACTGTTGGTTGTTGTGCAGGGTTTTGAACTGTTGGTTGTTGTGTTGGTTTTGGTGCATGCCTGTGTCTGTGTCCATGTGACGATGTAAATGTTTTAGGTAGTCCTGGTGCAGGTGCTTCTCTTGGAGGGTTTGGTGGTATATAAGTTCCACCAGCTGGCACATATGTTCCATCTGCAGCATAATGTCCTACCTGACTTTTCGTTCTTAAGAAAGCATTTACTAGGTCTGTTTTGGTCTGTTGTAACTCTTTTTCTTGACTTTCCACAACAGTTGCTCTAACGGCGTCATAGGCACTTTGAACTGCCTGTCTCGTTGCTGCATCTGTTATTTTCGTCATATTTTGTGCTACTTCTCTTAACTCTTTGTCGAAACCTTCAGACTTCAGTTTCTTTCCAGATGAGAAGTCGTTCACTAGTTTCACCTTACTATGAAGAGCTTCGAAGGCATTCTTAAAGTCAGCATTCATTAAAGCTTCATTTGAACTGTCTTCATCCGCTTGTATTTTTGTCCTTATTGACCCTATAAGTTGGGCTGCTTTAGCGTTGGCTTGGGCATCTAACCAGTCATTATTAGCTTTTATATATTCTGCGCTTTTCATTGCCTTTTGCATGGCTGCGTCGTTATTTTTACTTTCTTGTGCTAAGTTTTCATACTGTACGGTTTGGTTTTGCAACTGTAAAAGTTTTTCTGCCTTTACATTTGCTTCAACTTCTTTTTTATACTCATCGCTATCCATATATGTCTTCAGGGCTTTTTGTTTTATTTCTTCATCTTTCAGTACTTTATATTGAGTAGTATGGTTTTTCAAATTTATAACATCTTGTTCCATTTTTGCTACTTCTGCTGCTTTTTCTGACACTTTTTTCGCATATTCCTCTGTACTTAGTTCTTTCAGTTGTTCTTCTTTCTTCTTTTTCTCTACGTTTAACTCATTGAGTTTCTTTGTGTGTCTGTCATATTCTAGTTTCTTTTCGTTTTCACTTATTTGTTTCTGTATGTCTATGTTTGACTTTTTGACATCTGTTATTTGATTTTTGAGTGAACTCAAATTCATTTGACTTTGAGGGTTATAAGCTGTTCCGTCTGCAGCTCCACCATAGCCTGCCATTTTCGCTAAAAGTGCCGCTCTTAAACCTCCACTCTGTGCACCAATAACTCGGTTTAAAAGCATAGGGTTGCTTGACATTTGTTGCAACATAGTGGGGTCATTCATCATTTGTTGTTGCAACTGTTGTTGTGGTGTCAGTTTTACTATTGGATGTTTCAATGCTCCCTTCCTCTTACGTATATTCTTACGTAGCTTACGTGGCATTTTAAGTGAAGTAAAAAACGGTTTTTGACAGATGTTTATATGACACTTTTTGTTCAGCACAAAAAACTACTCGGTCAAAGTGTTGTCAGTTTTGTAAAATAACCGTGCTATCTCATTCTATAAGGGGGAAAAGGCTTCTCAAAGTATACTTCCTTGGAACGCCTGTAACTTTTCCTGTAGCGACGATAGACCCTTACTTGTCCGGACAAAGTTATACTATTTTGAGTGCTCTACAAAAAAGTCACCGGCTGGCTCGTCCTCAGAAATTTTTTATGGGCTAGAGGGAGCAACGCGCCTGGAAGCCCTCCGAATAAAAACTTCATTTATACTAAACATCTTCGGGGCTAGAGGGCGCAACGCGCCTGGAAGCCCTCCGAATAAAAACTTCATTTATACTAAACATCTTCGGGGCTAGAGGGCGCAACGCGCCTGGAAGCCCCACTACCTTTTTTTTAATCAAAATATGTGTAATCATAAAACAACTTAAATTAATATGATGTATCTACTTGCATTGATGATGCTAATACTAGTTCTCTTTACAATCTATATGATTTACAAAGCAATATTCCCAAATCCAATGCACATACGATTTGAAAATTTGCTCATGAATTATGGAATCGAGGTACCAAAGATCGAAATTAATTGTCCAGCAAAATATTCACACGATTTCTTAAGAGAATTCACGAAAATACTTAACTGCAACTTATATCGTGGGATTATCAAATTGGCTTTTGCTGAATTAAAGTGGCGAGGCTACATATTACATTTTTATATAGTAAGCTCGGGCACAACATGCATTGATAATCCAAAATTAAATGCATTTGGGCAAGTTGAATTTCCGATTATAATTAACATCAAAAGTTTCGAATTAGATCATTATACGTATCCGATTATGGATCATGGCGATCTCAAGTACGCGTTTCTACTCATCCCTCCAGGTGAAACAGTTGGTCATGAGTTTTCTCATTTGCATGCAACTTTTTTATATCTTTATAAAAAATACCAGGATAATCATGTAACTTTTCATCAATTAATGGACGCTTGGATACAAACTGGGCAGGATTTGTTTCATACTAAGTTTCGTCAATTTTCCAAGTTAATTCAAATCGAATTGAATCAAGCAATTGGTTTAGAGGTGGTTGATCTGCCGACATACAATGATCTCATTGCTCGTATTAAAAGTAATGTCCCAGAATTGCTTAAAAGATTGATTCCAAATCGTTATTATTCGATACGGAAGTTCCCAAGATTGTGGAGAGGTGCAATAGGTGAAATAATTGGTAGCGATGATAGATTTGAACTTAGAAAACTCATTAAAATGCTTAAGAAAGAAGCATTAAAAATTGGCAAAAAAGAAGTTTCCAAAATAAAAAAAAATTGAAAGTGTTGCATGGAAAGTTGGAGAGATTATTTGTGGAGGAAGATTTGTTTATGATGCATGGAATCATAAACATTATGATGAGTTGAGAAACATCTGGTTCAAACTTCAAGTGAATAAATGAAATATTAATAATGAATATCTCTGATGATTAAATTAGAATTTCATATATGGTGGGATCGACGTTCTTTTAGGATGTTTTGTTGAACCTGGTTTTTTCTGTTGCCATGGATGTTCAACTACATGTAACTCTTCGAGATTGAGTTCCTCGGGTGTTTTATCTGATCGATAAAGATATTGACCTGTCTCGTAAACAATATGTGGAGTGAAAGACAACTCACCTAGTGGAATCCATGGATCTGTGAATAAGAAAAACTTCGAATATGTTGTTCCACGACCAAATTCTTTGATAGAATCAATGACTTCTTGACTCGCATTATGTTGGATTGCATATCCTAAAATGATTCCTTTGAATATATATCCAATCATGTTTGCATTGATTCTATAAATCACTTTAAGATCACCACGATAATACTTTTCTAAAAATTTTTTCATTGCAAACTGTCCATAAACTGTTATATCTTCTTCAGTTAGGGTATAAAATCTGTTGAAACGTAATAGATTTTCAATTACAACAAAACCCTTCCCTTTGTACTCGATATGTGATTTTGTGTCTTTAGTTTGACTTTCAAAATAATTGATGATTTTCGGATCAGGTGTGATATTTATGGTATAAATAGGTTCATGAGATTCCATTGCGAAATCATTAACTTTGATCCAGCTTGGATAAACTTTTTTCTTTCGACCAACAAATCTAGATTTAATTTTTTCGATAATCCATGAAACCAGTCCATGGAAAATACCATAAATGAGCTTGATAGGAAATTCGATAATACTAAATGTAGTAGATATCAATAGAGGCCCTAGCATGAAATCTGTAAACTAAAATTTTAATTGAAAATTGAATGATTTACTGAAAATTTTCGAAGTTATAATTGTAGATTTTTGTTTTTCAATTAAGCGTGCATTTACCACTTTCTGACATTATCTCAATTTTTTTGACACACAAACTTTCTATCCTAATTTTCTAAGGTCAAAAGTTAATATTTTTGGTCAGGAGAAAGTAAATATGAATCACTATAGTACCTAATATGGTTGTTATACTTTTCTGCTATTAAAATAAAGATATATTGATTTTTTCAAAACATGTCAATAATATGGTATTCTTTCAGATTTTATTTATGATTAATGCTGTCAAGAATAGCGCATGGTTAAAAGCTACTGTTTTCTAGTATATACAATCAAATTTATCAACTAAATAGTATATGGTGAACATGAAGGATGGTTTTAAAAAATCAATATTTTATTTCAAAAAAAAAGAGCTAATAATAAAAAAAAAGAAAAGAAAAATTAGATAACAAAATTATTCATGAAATTACTTAGCAGCTGGAGCAGGAGCTGGTTGTGCAGCACCGGCAGCTGCAGCCTTTGCTTCGTCTTCTTTCTTCTTCTTCTCAGCCAATTCCATCCAAACAGCCAAGTTAGACTTGACTGAATCAGCGTTGACTTGGAGCTTAGGGAAGATAGTAGCAACAACGTTATACAATGGCAAGCAGACGAAGTTATAGAAACCAATCTGTGACTTAGGTTTATCTGGATGTTCGCGATCATTCAATGGAGATGTCAAACCAATTCCAGTCGCCTTTTCTAAGTCACCTTGTCTGTAGAATTCGACATTCAAGATATCACACCAGTTATCAGCCAATTCGAATGGACGTGAAACATTGGAAATATCTGCTACTTTCAACAAAAGAGACATAGCGATTCTTCTGTGTTCTTCCTTATTTAGATCGAACTCTCCCGCGTCAACCAATGCTTTAGTTGTCTTGATCATTTCGAAGTGCTTTGCCATATCTGTAGCGAGAATGTTCTGTATCATCATCTGCCACATCTTCTTTGTGTCTTCTTCGCTGAGTGAATAAATCAAATTATATGAATCATCACTCAATATATCAATAGAAACTGTCAAGTGGTGTGTTTCCATGACAGATGTGTCCTTGAACAACAAACCAAGTGGTGTTTGCGCTTTGATGTTGAAGATGTTGTTGAAACCTTCGTGATTTGCATCATGGCAAACAGCTGAAAGTAACAAAGCGAATTTTTCAAGAGGACTCAACATTTCATCAAATCCTGATGTCTTCAGCTCGTAAGCGACGTATTCTGTGACATCGCATGCGTGCATCCAGTTGTGATAAGGAACATCGTTGTATGTTGACCTTATCTTGTAGATGAATCTGAAGAAGAGCTCATTAGAAATCTTGAAATCTCTGAGAATGTTGAATTTGGAGAACAAATAAAACAGTTCTCTGATGTGGTTGATTCCTCTGAAATCTGGTGAGAAGAAATTGAGGGAAGAAGCAACTTTTTGTTGTTCTTCTGTTAATTTCAACTTCGCAGGAATCTGATCTGTAAGTGTTCTTTCTGGTTCTGTAATCCATTTAGACATCTCGACATCAGCTGATCCATTTGTTGCGATGCCTTTGAGTCTGTCATTTTCAATGGCAACAGAACTCAAAACTGCGAAATTCTGGACAATCTCGAGATCTTTGTTGTTAAAGCAATTGTCAACTTTATTGACCATCTCGACAACACCTATTAATTCACCAGAACCACTTAAAACAGGAACAGCGAGTAATGAATTTGTCTTAAATCCTGTAGATATATCTACTGTTCTGTTGAATTCTGGGGAATGATAGACATCGTTGTTTATGATTCCTTTCTTTGATTTGGCGCAATAAGCAACGATTCCGGAACTCAATGGTAAGTTTGGAGGTAATGTTCCGCCATCTGCAATGTATGATGTCAAAGAGTCCGATGTTTCGTCGAGAAGGAATAATGAAGAACACTCTGCGTTGATCTGTTTCCTGGCATTGGAAAGGATGTCTTTAAGAAGACGCTGTACATCCTCGCGCTTCGTAATGGAGAAGGAAACATCCAACAATGATCTGAGCTGTTCTCCTTTTTCTTGGGCTTCTTTGTAGAGGAAAACGTTCTCAAGGGAGATGCCCGCGAAGACATTGAAGATCTGGATGACGTTTATGTCCCATTGTGTGAATGGTTTGTTGTCATTCTTGTTAATCATCTCTGTAACACCGATAATCTCGGTACGGTTGTTGTAGATTGGGACAGAGAGAATGGAGCGTGTCCTGTATCCGGTCTCTTTATCTGTAGTAGGGTCGAAGTATTGGTTTTCGTATGCGTCGGTGATATTCATAATTGTTCGCTCGGCGTATGTATGTCCTGCGATACCCTTGTTGATAGGGATGGTAATTGCGTTCTCTAGACCATTCTGGAATGATGTAATGAGTTTGTCTTTGTCGTCATTGACAATAAATAAGGCACATCTGTCTGCGTTTGTTAATTGACGGCCTTTCTCCATGATAGTAAGGAGAAGCTTGTCCTTATCACGTTGGTTACCAAGTAGCTCGGCAACTTCAAGTAATGCGCCAAGAGATTCTCTTTCCATGTGGACATGCTGGAATTCGTCATCGGCCATGGAGAATGTGTTTGCATTCTCAAGGCTGAGTACGTAATGAGGAGCTGCTTGCTTGAGAAACTCTTCATCTTCGGCTGTAAAAATCGAATTTGATTGTGGGCCACGAAGAATAACGCAGTATGCGGTATTCGCTTGGCTCTCTGTAATAGGATATGCGAGAACTGCTTCGTTGAGGTTTCCATCGGATGTTGGGTTGTAATAAGCATGTAACTGGCATTTCGGACAGTTTACAACGGTTGTTTTGAGAAGGCAGTTACCGGCAATGCCAGAAGCGTCTTGGTTGACAAGAACAACATCATCAGAGAAACAAGTCATTTCTCCTGATGTTTTATCGAGTTTCCAGATCTCTGCAGCGCGGCATGAGAAGAAGGATGCGATCTTGCCAAGGGTTGTCTTCAAGTACTGATCTGTTCTTTGGATCTGAGTAACGTCAAGAAGATGAATGCTGAAGTCTTTCTTTGGCTTTACCCATCTTGTAAGGGATCTAAGCTTGCGAGTGAACCATTGGCAGAAGTTCTCCATGGCTTTTGTAAATGGTTGGGATCCTGATGGACGAATTGCAAGACAAATGCCCATAATAGAGTTGTTGTAGTCGATGATTGGGAATACCATAACTGGGGAGTTGTTTGGACAGAATTTTCCATCGAATTCGGGTTTAAATGCGGGATGTTCTTGTCCAGAAGCAGCTGAGGAGAGCTGACGTGTGAAGAATGCATTTCCGACGATACCTTCTGTATGTTGGCAAGTAATTTTTAATGTTGGAGAGTAAAGTAATTGGAGATTTGGAACTTCTTGCCAGAAAATAACTGTTTGAGCATCTAATGCAGCGCGAATGTAAACTTCGATTGTTTGAGAAAGTGGGTTATTTTCTAAAGTCTTTAAAAGCTCGTCCATACACATGTCAGCATCAAAATCGAGATTTTGTGGTAATGGAGCAAGTGGTTGTGCTTGACGTGTTTGCCTGGATTGTGCTCCTTCATGCTCACTATTTGCGGTAACAATAGGTCTTGTTATTGGAACGTTTTGATTATCAAATTGATGAAACCTCGGCATTACTCGAGTGCCGCCGGCTTTATGATTGATAATATTAGGAAGTTGTGGGCCTCCTTTGATTTGGCTGGCTCCACTCTTGATTCTAAAAGAGCCAGTTCTCATGATTTTGTCACGTTTTAATTGAATTAATTTTTTGTTCGGATATTTATAAAAGAAATATTAATGATTGAGGAACATTGAAACAAGTACTCTGATTCGTAACCAATTTCAATGAAGATATAGAATAAAATTTTCCAATTAATCTAGCATATAACAAATATTTGTAGATGCTAATATAACTTTTGAGAGTGTAAGAATTTAATTCAATTAATTCTGAAAATTAAAGTTAAAATTTTTAATGTAAATGGATAAATTTATTTGCATTGAAATGTGGGAGAAATTTTGGACGATTGGGTACAATTGAATTGAAAATATGAAGAAATCAATATTTCGTCAATGAAATTGAAATGGTGAGATAAATGCAGGATAAGGGTCCTATTTTTATCTTTTCCAGAAAAAAATTTTCCATTACATTAAATAACGTATTAATTCAAAAGATAAAATAACAAATAAATTGAATACTAAATTTGAAATCATATAAAATCAGCAAAACACCTTTAGTTCTGTGTTTTATCATAGACCAATCTAATATTTGATTGCCAACTCTTTTAATTTTAAAATTTTAATCGAAATTATTGCGCACAGCAAATAATCTTTGCTAAATACTTCTAATTAGAATATCCTAATATACCTTTTGAGCGATCGATGATAATTGTCTAAAAAATCGGGATAAATTTTTAATTGAAATTCAAATCTTTTGTATTCTTGAATATTGGAAGCCATAACTAGGATAAATGATGTAGACATACGGAATATTGGCTGATGCCAACATCGATCAACATACAACCTTTGATTCTACAAAACGATCTTGAATTTACATTATTAAAACCAGAATTTATTTTTGTTTTTCTCTATGTTTAACGGTTGTTAGTATATTTTATATCAAAATAACCTTTGATAATTGAAATTGAGATCAATTCAAATTTCAAACAATAAAAGAAGAGAGCATGATGATGTGCTTAAATCCTCTGGTTCTTTTTATGCATGATAAGAAGAGATATTTATTTAGTTAATTAATAAATCATGAAATAGATTGAGTTCAGACAAAATTTATTCATAAAGATGATGCCTTTATCCATCTGCATCAAGAACGAAAGCAGCGCAGAGGTGGTAGATTTTTGGAATTTCTTGAGCAAATGTAAGGGAAAAAAATATACGTTACTAAGTCGAATGTCTTTTGGTCGAAGCGTTCTTAGATGGCTTCAAACAATAGATTTATCACAGCCTTATAGTAATCCAAGAGTTGGCTTTGCTAGTGGATTTTTGGTTGCTGAAATTGTAGCAAAATATATTCCAACAGTTTCAATGCATTCTTATTCAAATTTCGTTAGTACAAAGATGCGCCAAGATAACTGGAAGCAGTTATTAGCTGTTTTTCAGAAAAATAATATCCCGATCCAGCAATATTTAATCGATGAAGTTATTAAGCGTAAACAAGGCTCTGCCGTTCAATTAATCGAAATTCTTTATACTCATTTTACAAAACTTACACCAAGTCATCCTACTCTTGGCAATATTACAGCAAATGATTCGAAAGACAAAGGAAAGCAAGCTCAAGTTACAACAATCGCACCACCATCAATGCCAAAACAGCCAGAGCCTCAACCAGAGATACCACCACCAGCTCCAAACCGTCAAAGATTCATTGGTTCCACATCTACTCAAAGAACTGGTGCTGCATCCGACTTAACACCTATCTCATTCGAATCAGCATCAGTTATTAAGTCAGGACCAGGATTTTTAGAGTTACGAAATACAAATACTCCAGCACAAGAAGATACCGAACACAAAGCACTTGATAACGCTATTGATGCTCTTACAAAAGAAATTACACCGGAAAATCTTCAATCATTCATTACTTGTCTTCAAGATCCAGCCCAATTATCCCAATTCTTACAGCATTATCCACCAGACTTGATTGTCCACTTCTTAACAGTTGCTGGACCCAAGTTACCACCAGAATTTGGCTCTTGTTTGATAGATTATCTTAATGATCTTTTTATTCCAACAATTACACCCGAATCGTTACCAATTGGTGATCTTGCTGACTTCATTTTTGCTGTTCCAAGTCAAGATCCGTTCACTCACCACATTATTTTATATAATATCCTTGAAAGTGCTCCAGAAGACAGCAAAGCCACTATTTTAAGTGCATTCTTGACAAGAGAGACCGAGTTATCAAAATCTCTTGCAGCATTCTACGCGATGAAGATCGAAGAGTACTCAAAGAACGATCCACAATGTTTATTACCTCAAGCTTTGACAAAACTCATTAATTTTGACAGGCAAGCAGCTGTTCCATTGATTTCTCTTTTCCCTCCAACAGGAGATCAAGACAAAGATGTCCAACTCGTTGGATTATACACGAAAGCAACAGAAGAAGCATTGCCACAAATCAAAGAGATCATTACAAACGGAAATCGCTCTGTTGCTGCTTATATTTTGTCAACAATTGCAAAAGACAAATCGTTGACAACAGAACAAATGGCATCTTTGTTGTTGTTACTTCCTGATCCAATGGAAATATTAAGTACTCCTTACAGCATCGAAAGTTTCGGACAAATATTTAATGTTGATCCTTTGATTCAATCAATTTCTACAGTTGATATTGCTGAAGCAATGGCAAACCAGATCAGCCAAGCTCAGCCTGATAGAATTGACAAAGAGATCTTCTTGTTGTCAGCTTTGATGACTGATTTAAGACAAGATGATGCTGAAAGATGGACAAAAGTTTTTAATAATTTACATGAATATCTTTATTTGGCATTTTGTGATGAAAATGTCTGCAAAGAAGTTTCTAATGTATGCTTGACTTTCTATAAGCTTATTCAGGGTGAAGTCTTCAGTACTTTCTCCGTTTTGTTCAAGGCTTTGAACTATGTTTTCCCTTCGAATTGTCCTGCAATTTGTAAACAAACTGCAGCTGAATTTTTGGCAAAAGCTTCTGAGATTAATCCTAATTTCTCACAAACTATATTGAAATTATTGATGAACTTCCCTCCAAAGACTCATCCTGATTTAGATAGACTTATCGCAGCACTCAAGAAAGTTAGGAAATAAAAAATTATTTTCCTTTTTTCACAAATTAATGATATTTTTAAAATAAAGCATTTTATAACATATTGCTATTTCATTCCATCACAAATCAGCTTTATATTGATGAAATTTAATTTTGATTATTGTCAATTAACATAAAAGCACAAAATTATGTGGAGTATCAAGAAAGTCATACATAAATATATGTAAATTCAAAATAAATAAACATGATTTATAAAACAAGGGGTGAAAGTGGCGGGAGTGCAACTCCTGCAGATTTCATTCTTAGGCCTGTATTCTTGGGAAGTTGTGGCTTAATAAGGCATGGAGAAGGACTCAAAACTCTCTTATTTGGAATCGGGAATTGACGGCCTAATCCAGGAAGTGGTTGATTAGGAGTATGAGGTGGAGTTCTTCTAGAATCACTAACTCTTGGAACAGGAAGTAATGGTTTATTAAATGGATCATCCTTGATTATTTGTTGTTCATATTGCTGATAATTTTCTTCTAAAGTAAGTGGTTCTCTTGGTTTAGCAGCTTCAGTTGCAACATTTCTTTCCATTTCAAGGGCGTTTTGTTTAGATTTATTCATTACTGATTCTGTCTGAACTTTTTCGACAATTGAACCTACGGAATCGACTAACTCTTCTTCGTTCATGTCATCAATATCTGAATTATTAGCTAATTCCTCTATCATTTCATCCATTTCATCTTCAGCTTCTTCATTTTCTTTTATCATCTCTTCTCTAAACTGAGTAAAGTCAAGAATGTTCTGGAGTGTTCTAACAATGAGTTTTGCCGTTGCATTCTTTTGTTTGTAACTGTTATAGATTAATTCTTCAAATTCGTCCGCAGATATATCTAATTTATTGCATAGCTGACAATCCACAAGGTTTGTAATGGTGTGAAGAAAAGATTTATAACACATATATTCTTGAGTTGACGCATTTTCGCCTTCTTTGAAAAGTACACAGTTGGTTGTCTTAAAGTCAAATATGGGAGACCACCATTCGTCAGAGGCAAGATATTTAGAGATCTTTTTTAAGAGCTCTTCTTCCCCCATCTGAAATAACGTACTTTCGAGGAATATTTTACTTCATTTATCGGTGCGATGCGCCGCTAGATTATATATGGAAGGTCGCCAACAGCTTGGACTGGAGTTGAGATGTCTGTATTTTGGCAAAATAGTTGAATTTAGTAACATTTGATTGTTATAAAATCTAGCACTGATTGAGACTTATAAAAAAAACGACGAAAATGTGTTGGCATTAATATTTACTCAAAGAAATAAAAGGTAAAAGAGTATGAGATCGAAAGGCGAAGATTACGTATCTGCATAAAGAATTATCATCATAAATTCGAGAAATGATGACATATCCATCGCCATCATACTTAGTTTCGGTTCCATTCTTCAACACAATGTTAGTGAAAGTAAATCTCGGTTCAATTAAACATTCTCGATGTCCAGAAATATAAGAACTTCCGCCAGTACCAGGAGAACAATATTCAGGAGAAGGTTTAGCTAGTCCGCCAAGGTATCCAGCACCACCACCACCTGATCCCTCTGCTCCACCGCCTCGTTCAGGAGTTCCATCATTTCCATCTTGACCATTACCATCTATAGACCCAAATGTTTGATTCACGCCAGAAATAGTAACAGATTCGATTATATTCACAGCATCGTTACTACTAATTCCACCTGCATCTCCCCATACATACTCAAATTGTTCAAATTGACTTGTAGTCATTACTCCACCGCCACCGCCAGCAGCTACAATGATAGGTGAAGTTTGATCTTCATTTAATGAAATTACCGTTTTTCCGCCACCAGATCCGCCTGATACCTTAATTTCACCTTGATAAATTTTACCTGAGCCTCCTTTTCCGCCACCATTACTACCTCCTGGAGTAATTGAGCCATCAGATTTTCCCGTTTTGCCCTTTCCTCCAAGAGTAATGTAAACTTTTTTCGGTTCTCTTAATCTTACTGCGCCTGATACATATGCACCATATCCATGGCCATCACCGCCGCCTGCGGGACCATAAGCTTCGACAAAATAGCGACCAGGAAAGAATTGGTACTCGAAAGTTTGATCAAGGATAGTGAACCTTTTAAGTTCTTTGAGGTTAATCAATGAGCTTTACTCTGTTGCAGACAGATGAGATGAACGACAAAAAAAATTGAATTTGAATTCCGAATTATTTGAATTGAGTGTCAGTTTACAGTTTTTACAAAATTGGTTGAGAAAAACGTGCTTTAAATTATTTATAAATGAAACTATAAGGTTACAAATTTTTATCGTTCTGAAATCGGGCGGAGGTTTTTGTGATATGGAAAAATGTTCGTTGCTCAATTATCTCACTATTGGATGGACTTTTATCGAGCGAAATTTTGGCTGTAAAGACAATTCTGATATTGGTAACATGGTGATAAGAACAAATAGTCAGTTTGCATGGTTTATGATGAGATAATTTCGATTTAAAAAAAAACTTAAAAATTGATTTTAATGAGCGATTATATTTGAATATGCTCTCCTAATTTGAAGGAACTGGTTAAATCATGAATTGATCATGAATAATTTTTTTTCGAAATAACAATTATAATTTCATATTCATTATAAGTTGAAAATATATCATAAAGACTTTATGAATGATAAATTCCTAAAAAACAAGTTAGTTTGTTTCTGAAAATAATAATAATAAAAACCAATTTAGACCCAATAATTTTTGGCGGGATAATTGAGATGTTACGATTGAATTAAAAAAAAGCGGTAATACATTTTTACAATGATGAAGAGGCCGGCAACCTCTGAGTCACAGCACTTGTTAATGCAATGATGAAGAGGCTGGCAACCTCTGAGTCAAAGCACTTGTTAATGCAATGATGAAGAGGCTGGCAACCTCTAAGTCAAAGCACTTGTTAATGCAATGATGAAGAGGCTGGCAACCTCTAAGTCAAAGCACTTGTTAATGCAATGATGAAGAGGTTGGCAACCTCTGAGTCACAGCACTTGTTAATGCAATGATGAAGAGGCCGGCAACCTCTGAGTCACAGCACTTGTTAATGCAATGATGAAGAGGCTGGCAACCTCTGAGTCAAAGCACTTGTTAATGCAATGATGAAGAGGCTGGCAACCTCTAAGTCAAAGCACTTGTTAATGCAATGATGAAGAGGCTGGCAACCTCTAAGTCAAAGCACTTGTTAATGCAATGATGAAGAGGCTGGCAACCTCTAAGTCAAAGCACTTGTTAATGCAATGATGAAGAGGCTGGCAACCTCTAAGTCAAAGCACTTGTTAATGCAATGATGAAGAGGTTGGCAACATCTGAGTTAAAATACTTTTCCCAGTGTGGGATTAATTTGAAAAAAAAAATTTAGTTCATATATTGAAAAAAACAAAAGTAAAAATTAAAGTTTATAGGTTGTGTTTTGATGAGCTAATTGTTAAGATATTGTAGTTCTAAAGAAAAATTTGAGTTTCGAGGAAGTTTCTCGACAGAGGAAACTTTCATATCGAATGTTGCCTCTGTCGAGATGTATGTGACAGGCAAAGTGCAATCACCTATCAATATTGCACTTTGCCTGTCAAAAGTTCCTCGCATCTCTTGAGGTGTGAGGAAGTTTCTCGACAGAGGAAACTTTCATATCGAATGTTGCCTCTGTCGAGATGTATGTGACAGGCAAAGTGCAATCACCTATCAATATTGCACTTTGCCTGTCAAAAGTTCCTCGCATCTCTTGAGGTGTGAGGAAGTTTCTCGACAGAGGAAACTTTCATATCGAATGTTGCCTCTGTCGAGATGTATGTGACAGGCAAAGTGCAATCACCTATCAATATTGCACTTTGCCTGTCAAAAGTTCCTCGCATCTCTTGAGGTGTGAGGAAGTTTCTCGACAGAGGAAACTTTCATATCGAATGTTGCCTCTGTCGAGATGTATGTGACAGGCAAAGTGCAATCACCTATCAATATTGCACTTTGCCTCTCCAAACTCTCAAATATGCTTCTCACCATACATCAAACGGGCAAATTTCTCTTTAAATTTCTCTTTATTTGAAAGGTTTTCAACAAAGCTATACCTTAAAAATCTGTGCTTGTTATATCTGATCATTTATGTGTTAGGGGAGGTAAATTTATTCCACTAGAGCAAATTTTTTCCGAAGTTTCTCATTCGATGAGAAACCTCGGAACAACTCTTCAATAGTGTAATGAATTTGTGGTATTTGTCCTGCAAACAGCGAGAGAACTTGTCTGTAATTCGTTTATGATGAAGTTATCTGGATGTCTCTCAGATGAGGAAGGAAGTCCAGAAAACTTCACCATAAGTTAATACTTGTGTATTTCTATGACTCTCTTCACGTCAGAGAATGTAAATTTACTCGAATAGGGCAAAGTTCTGCTCAAGTTTCTCATTTGATGAGAAACCTCGGAAGAACTTTGCCCTAAGGTAATGTATATGTGATTGTTGGCCCGCAGAGAAACAAGGAATCTGTTTGTATTTCGTTTATGGTGAAGTTCTCGGATGTTCTCTCAAATTATATGGAAAATCAAGAGAATTTCACCATAATTTGTTGTAGTTGTGATTCTCTGGCTCTTTGCCGGCCAGAAAACTAGAAAATAGTTTATAGTGGGAGTATGCTCGATGAATACCTACTCACTAAAAATATACGTTATTTTTTGTTTTCCTATGGGAAAATAGTTTTGATTTTTATACTATCGTATGCTTTGTTATTGCATGAATTGTCTATTTTCTTAATAAAAACTCATTTTTCCGTGTGATTCTGAATCAATGCATTCCAAAAAAGCGTTTTCCGCCTTTGAAACGTGAAAACACACATTGCATGAAGAATCAGAGAAGATTTTCTATCTTTCAATTTTTTAGACTTTTGAAATTTGATAATAACTCTAAATTAAGCTGATAAACTCATAGAGCACATAAAATAACACATGTCTATCATATTTGAATTTTCTAAAAATCTCCAAAAAAATCGCGTTTTAAAAATTTCGTAGTTAAAAAGTAAATTTTTCACGATAAAAAACTATAATTGGTTTTTTTTTGGAATTCTTCGAGTTAGAAAATCTTCTCTGATTCTTCATGCAATGTGTGTTTTCACGTTTCAAAGGCGGAAAACGCTTTTTTGGAATGCATTGATTCAGAATCACACGGAAAAATGAGTTTTTATTAAGAAAATAGACAATTCATGCAATAACAAAGCATACGATAGTATAAAAATCAAAACTATTTTCCCATAGGAAAACAAAAAATAACGTATATTTTTAGTGAGTAGGTATTCATCGAGCATACTCCCACTATAAACTATTTTCTAGTTTTCTGGCCGGCAAAGAGCCAGAGAATCACAACTACAACAAATTATGGTGAAGTTCTCTTGATTTTCCATATAATTTGAGAGAACATCCGAGAACTTCACCATAAACGAAATACAAACAGATTCCTTGTTTCTCTGCGGGCCAACAATCACATATACATTACCTTAGGGCAAAGTTCTTCCGAGGTTTCTCATCAAATGAGAAACTTGAGCAGAACTTTGCCCTATTCGAGTAAATTTACATTCTCTGACGTGAAGAGAGTCATAGAAATACACAAGTATTAACTTATGGTGAAGTTTTCTGGACTTCCTTCCTCATCTGAGAGACATCCAGATAACTTCATCATAAACGAATTACAGACAAGTTCTCTCGCTGTTTGCAGGACAAATACCACAAATTCATTACACTATTGAAGAGTTGTTCCGAGGTTTCTCATCGAATGAGAAACTCGGAAAAAATTTGCTCTAGTGGAATAAATTTACCTCCCCTAACACACAAATGATCAGATATAACAAGCACAGATTTTTAAGGTATAGCTTTGTTGAAAACCTTTCAACGAATGAGAAAGTTAGGAAAAACTCTACCTTATAAGATCAACTATAGAATTCATAGCTCTTTGAATACTAGGAAACATTAATGCAGTAGTTTAAGGCAAAGTTTTTCCGAGATCTACGAAGGATAGAGAGATCTCGGAAGAACTTTGCTCTGCACAAGTAATTTCAGAATCTATGGTCCTCTAAGGACCAGAGGACGGTAATGTAAAAGAATGATGTCAATAGCAGATAAATAATAGCCTTAGAAGTTCAATACGTGCACAGTTTGACTACATTGCCCTAGTAGTTAGACTGTACAGGTATTGTACTTCTGGCCTAAAAAATCCTCATTGAAGACAATAGGTAGAAACTCAAATTGTTGATAAATATCCCAAAATATCATAAGAGAGCCCATTATTGTTACCTGGCTCCTTCCTGGCTTTCAAAGTCTGTAAACGAGAAGTCTTGGCTCTTGTGGTAATTGCTTCCAAGAGGTTTACTCAATTCGAGTAAAACTATAAACCCTGTAACTGACATGTACTTCCTTGAATGGGCATTAAAAGTAATTTAACCTAACGAATAGTAACATGACCACTATTTTGATGACTAAGAAATGTAATTCATCAAATTGGCAGTTCGATGAATGATACCATGCAATCAACAACTGGTTTGTTACAATTTGGCTTGATTCATCAAATTGGCGGTTTGATGAACCGAATATTGTAATCCAGACTAGGTCAGTTACAATTTGGCTTGATTCATCAAATTGGCGGTTTGATGAACCGAATATTGTAATCCAGACTAGGTCAGTTGCTTGTTGGTCATAGATAATAATGACACCTTTCAGTTTTTGTTAAACATCTCAATTATCCCGCCAAAAATTATTGGGTCTAAATTGGTTTTTATTATTATTATTTTCAGAAACAAACTAACTTGTTTTTTAGGAATTTATCATTCATAAAGTCTTTATGATATATTTTCAACTTATAATGAATATGAAATTATAATTGTTATTTCGAAAAAAAATTATTCATGATCAATTCATGATTTAACCAGTTCCTTCAAATTAGGAGAGCATATTCAAATATAATCGCTCATTAAAATCAATTTTTAAGTTTTTTTTTAAATCGAAATTATCTCATCATAAACCATGCAAACTGACTATTTGTTCTTATCACCATGTTACCAATATCAGAATTGTCTTTACAGCCAAAATTTCGCTCGATAAAAGTCCATCCAATAGTGAGATAATTGAGCAACGAACATTTTTCCATATCACAAAAAACCTCCCCCTGAAGGCGGATCGAATTTGAAAACAAAATCAAAATAAATGCTTGAACAGACTGATAATATAATGAGAGATGTGTTATTAAATAATATTCCTAAGTTAGGATGAAAGTTCACACCATATATCTCCGTCGAGAATTAGTCTTAAACTTAAAACATTGCAAATTTGTCTTAATAACCCTGAAGGTAGATTATTCCCTTTAATATGCCATAGAAATTTGTAGTCAACCTGAAGGCTACACATTCACAAATTTTAAGGGCTCTAAAATTCATTTATCGGAAGATATTGCATTGGTTTCATTCAATAAAAATATATTCAGTATAAGATCTGGTCTATGTGGGTATATATTTCTATAGACAGTTTCCTCTTATTCAATTCGGATGACAAGATAGAAACGTCCAAAGCCTCCTAAAAAATGAATTCAGTCTTGGTTAAGAAAGAATGTATGTGGGGCCTTATCTTTTCTTTGTTGAAACCGATCGATGTGGATTGTCGTTTGTAATATCAAACAGCGTTTATGAATCATAAAACATTTTTAAATACATGCATTTTATGAGAAATCATGTAATTTGCTTCGTTATCTCGCTGAACGAAGGGCAGGTTAACGCAAGATTTTGTATGTATGAATAACTCATATATAGCTAATATTGTCAATATAAAAAGTGTATTTCAACAGCTTAGTTTTATGATATTTCTCGTTTAACAAAAAAAAACATAAAAAATTGATTTTAAATGATAACTACATTACTGTTTTGCATTCAGGTAGTAATAGGCGTTCATTATAATATGGATATATGAAGGATAAAATTCAAAAAAACAGTTTCACATTTCAACGAGTAAAATAGTTGAGACAATATCTATTAGGTTTTATTTAATAAGTTTATGATGTTCTGATGTATGATATTGATATTGTTACAATTTGAAGATTTTCCTTTTTTATAACATATATTAAGATGGGGTACTTGCATTTGAGCTATACATGAGATAAATTTTATGGAAAATCTATTATTCATATGATTTGTATATAAGTAGATAATTCGGTAAGATAATAACCAATTATCTGAACAAGAATAGTTGATTTCACCTATATATCTTGCATATAATACGGTGTAAAATAATTAATATTAGAAATTTAATTTATAAAGCAAATATAAGATATTCTTTTGAAATTGAGTTGAAATATCTATTTTCCTATGTCTTTCATCCTCTTTCGAGTTGTAAATACTCATTGTAACAGTTATATTGCTCCAGACCATTTTATAATCGGTCAAAACAGGAGTGAAAAACTCTATCGTCCTGCTCAGAACAAGAAATGAAGAAGAGAATAGTTTACTTCTATGATGATGATATTGGAAATTTCATGTATAATCAAGGTCACCCAATGAAACCACATCGTATACGTATGGCACACAACTTAATCATGGCGTACGAACTATTTTCAAGTATGCGTGTTTTGAGACCACGCCGTGCGACCGCCCTCGATATGACAAGATTTCATACAGACGAATACGTTCAATTTTTACAAGTTGCAACACCGAAAAATACAAGTGGCGACGATCCAGTTTTAGAAAAATTCAACATCGATGGAGATTCACCAGTTTTCAACGGAGTATTTGAATTCTGTCAAATATCTGCAGGTGGTTCTATCTCCGGAGCTCAAGAATTAATTTCAGGAAAGTGCGACATTGCGATTAACTGGGCCGGTGGTCTCCACCACGCCAAGAAAGCCGAAGCCAGTGGTTTCTGCTACTGTGCAGACTGTGTTCTTGGTATTCTCAAGTTATTAGATCGTTACGACAGAGTTATGTACATTGATATTGATATTCACCATGGCGATGGCGTTGAAGAAGCCTTCTATACTACTGATCGCGTACTTACAGTATCATTCCACAAGTATGGTGATGATTTCTTCCCATGCACAGGCAATAAGAATGATATCGGCATCGACCGCGGAAAAGGTTATGCCGTCAACGTTCCTCTCAGCGACGGACTTGACGATGCCGCCTTCGAGAGCATCTTCAAACCAGTCATGAGCCGTCTCATCGAGTGGTACAGGCCAGGAGCCATTCTTCTCCAATGCGGAGCAGATTCTTTGACAGGAGACAGAATTGGATGCTTCAACCTCACTCTCAAGGGTCACGCCATGGCCGTAGAGTTCATCAAGAACCTCAAGATCCCTCTCTTGGTCACAGGAGGTGGTGGTTACACAGTAAGAAATGTCGCAAGATGCTGGGCATATGAAACAGCCGTTTTGACAGAAACACCGATATCTGATGAATTACCATATAACGAGTATATGGGATACTTCGGTCCTGACTACAGATTGCACTTGCAGCCTTCAAACATGGAAAACACAAATTCTGAACAAGATCTGAATGACCTCATGCAGTTAATCGATAATCACATGAAGGATGCACAAGCGGCACCATCAGTCGATTGGGCACTTGGTGTTGGTACTCAGAAGAAGATAGATGCTCTCGGCAATGTTGTTAATTAGAAAATTAAAAATTTTTTTCATACTAATTTTCATCATTCTTAATCAAGACTTTTTTAACTCTTAATAAGATTTTGCAAACAGATTTATTAGATAACTTAACTCTCCACATGTTTTGGGAGACTTAATACGTGTCTATCTTTCTATTGAAGAACCTAATAGATCATATTCTATCTTAAATTAGAGTTTTATTAATTTTTAGGAGACTTTGTGCGTTTCTATCTTGATATGAAAGAGCTTAAGAGGAAGCTGTCTAAAGCATTATGTAACCACATAGACAATTGCGTATATCTAATATATTTTCATTGAATAAAAGCAAAGTTGTCTCCTTGGAAGAAGGTATTTTAGAGCCCACAAAATATGATTAAATATCAGAATGTTTCCACAAAATCTAGGAATTGTGTTAACACAAAGTAAAGATCAGCTGAGTTGTCATGCAATATATCATATAATAGCAGTTCAAAAGTTTCGTTATGAAACTTTTAGATAAGTTGAATCTTGGTGTATATCGTATAAATGAATTTGTGCATAATTTGTTAAGTGAGCTATGAATTCAGGCTATTTGTGATATGGATTTTGGATTTCATTATAAAAGATTGATATTTTCATGAACATTGTACGATATATTTTTCATCACTCAAGGACTGGAGAGTATTGCTTCAATAAAATATGATAGATTTTAATTGTGGCTAAAATTTTGTAAAGTAGATTTTGGATGTCAAGAACTCGTCCGAATTTTCTTATCACAGGAACGCCAGGTGTAGGCAAAACAACATTCTCTGAGATACTTGCAGAAAGATATAATCTCGTTCACATTCCAGTCAGTCGTTTAATTCAAGATAAGCATCTTTGGCAAGAAAAAGATGAAGAGAGAGACTGCACAATTTACGATGAGGATCTCCTTGATGAAGCTATCAAAGAGATCTTGGATTCAAATCCAGAAGGTGGTGTTATCTTTGATTTCCACTGTTCTGATATCGTCATGCTCGATGACATTGACTACGTCTTAGTTCTCAGAACAAACTCAGATATCCTTTACAAACGCCTTCAATCTCGTGGTTATTCTGAATCTAAAATCCAAGAAAATACAGAATGTGAAATTTTCAGAGTAGTTCTTGACGAAGTTCTCGAAGGCTTCGAAGAACTTGGAGAAGATCATATCATCGAAATACAATCAGATACAATGGAACAGCTCGATGAAGCTGTCATGAACGTTGGTCACTTAATAGAAAGCTACCAGCAGCAAGAATAGAGCATATAGATTCACTATAATAAACTATATAGAATATTATCCTTTTAATGAAACTCAATAATATTTTTAATTCAAACCTTATTTAAATAGAGCAGGAATCAACTATAGTTATAGCTCTGAGTTATTGCAAATGCAAAATATGTATTGATTTGTTAAAAATAATATTAAATTTACATTTTTATTCAGTTTTTTCTTTACCTGTATTTGCTTTTTTGTTAGTACTTCCACAGCTTGCGCAGATATACGTAGTATTCTTTGGATCATCGGCTAATCCATTATTAAAGCCGCATTTTTTGCAAATGAGAGCCTTAGGATTGCTTGTATATGTTCCGCATAATTTGTCAAGAGTTCTAAGCATGAATGAATTACGAAAAACAGTTTTTGGTGGAGGTGGTCTTGCATTTGCATTATTTCTAAATTTTGTTAGGAATTCTTTGTATTGTTCGATTTCTTTATTGTTGTCAATTTCTTTGTTCTTCTTGTTGATTGAATCTTTGTAATATTGAATGTTGCTTTTGATTCTAGAAATTCTAAGCTTTTTAAGGAGGAAAATAAGGATTGTAAGTGTTGATGGTATTAGTGCATATATTATGTATTTATAAAAGCATGCTACAGCTAATGATAAAAATAAAAGGAAGTAAAAAATGCTATCATAAAACAAAGGAACATCTCTTAGATCTTGCTCGAGGATTTTGATCCTGATATTAAGATCATCAATCTCATTTGCAATATCTTTCTTTCCAAATAATCCCATTTGTATATTAAAAGTGACAGTTTAGATTTATTCAAGTTTCAATAAAAAAAATCACCTGAGCGTATTGATTCTATAATATCTTGTCACCAAATTTATTTTATTACATATAAAGAGGATGACATATTAGGACACTATGAACTTAATGACTTTCATAGTTCAAAAGTCTATTTTAAGAAATTCAAGTCATCTTATCTTACATTAATATTTATATCTGTATTTTTTCATAATAATGCTCGATATGGATGTTTTATAGTTCACAATGAGAGCCATTGCACGCTTTCAATATAATTTCGATATTCCACTTTTTGAATTGAAATTCGATATATAAAGCGACACTCCGTACTGCAGACCTGAAGGTTTTTTGAAAAATATACAAAATTATAAGAAAATTGAAGAAATTAGTATAATTTTCATCATTGATATTTCCATAGTACTATATTTTTGTGAATAAATAAAAATTAAAGATATTGATCATGTAATATTGTAAAAAAGAAATTATTTCTATGTGTTAAAATTATTGAACAACAATTGTTTTATTCGTAAAATTCATTTTAAGTATTAATTAACCTTAATTTTCCAAAAAAATTTCAAAAATGAAAAAATGAGAAGAAAATCATTGATTCTTCAACTCTAATTTTAGAAATTAAAATATTTTTGGAAATTCAAAAACGACGGAGAACACTCTTCAGCGTTCCAATAGCAGGATAGTAACAAAATAACTCAAGAAAGTTCCAAATTTTAAACGGTCACTCAATTGGATGAGTAAAATTCCGCGATTAAGTACAGGCACTAAAATTCCAAGACCAAATATGGGTGGCACTCGTCCAATGACAAAAATAGATTCTAATATTCCGCGTAAATCTATTTCAAAGGAAAGAAGATCTTCAATTAAACCAGATAAATTTTTCCATGTTAAGCCAACAATGAAAAAACTTAACGAAAGAGTCATGAGCACAGATATAATTAATCACGCATTCTCCTTGAAATCAGATAAAGCAGAAGCAGTTTGGAATTACTCAAAAACCATATGCAGCAGCTTTTTCCAACAAAAGTATATAGATATATTTTACTCATCTTTGTTTTCTACAGCAAAGACAAACAGATTTGATGCAAAGAACCGTATGGACAGAAATAGAACAACTCAATTAGGCCAAACGATTGAAAATGCAATAAAGGTTTTTAATGACATGTACGATGAAAACCCAGCATCTTTATACGCTCTAGCAGACTTTTGCTTGCTTTACTTGTCTTTGATAATTTCAATTTGCAATATAGAGAACTGTGCCAAAGAAGCACTCTTTTTCACCAGAAAATTCTTACAAAATGATATGATGCCTTCACGTCCAAATGAATGCATCATGCTTTTCACCGCAATTATGAACATTTGCGTAGAAACACCAACAACAATCGGAATCTGCAAACAGATCATATACAATCTTGCAAAAGCAAATCCTGATCTCAATTCTGGTGTTGAGAAAGGCGTTACCCGAAAGAACAAAACTCAGAAAGAAATCTGTGAAGGAGCCCTTGAAATTCTTTCAAAAGTCTCTGCACAGGAGCAACTAGCTCAGTCAACAGAAGTTGATATTACAAGTCTTAATGATGAAGAAGAAATTTTAGCAACAATTGCATCATTTAACAGACCAAATGCAATCAAAAAGCCTGCTGACTATGTTCGCGATCTTCTTATTACAATGCAGAAATTCCCAGATAATTACGCAATCATTATTGCTGCTTCAAACTCGATTCAATCCAACATCGAAATTTGCACACCAATTGATAGAGACATTATAGGAGAACTCTTATCAGTAATCATTACTACTGTAATGCCATCGCAGACAGCCAATCAGGATCTTTACACTGATGCAGTTTTTGCGGTTAATAATCTTTTCGGAGCACTCGTTGATTCTCATGGGCCAGAAGAGATAATCCAAGCAGCTCCTGGTGCTCACATCCTCCTCAATGCCGAAGGAATCGAAAAATTAAATGAATATATTGAATCACTCAACCAAACATCACATGAACCACAAAAACAGACAAAAGTAGAGGAAACACATAATGAAGAGCCTAAAGAAGTAATTAATCCTGGATTACAAAAATCTATTGAGTTACTTTTAGATCCTGCTACAATATTCACAGAGATGGAACGTATTATATATGCAAATGAAGATTTATTACAATATCCCATTTATCTCAGAGGTTTTCTTCAAAGATCATATTATTTGTACAAGAAAGTTGTTCCTCCTCAAATGAACGATTATCAGTTGTCTCTTGCAAAAGAGATGCTTCGCGATTTGGAAAGCGGCAACAAAGAAGATGAACAACCTGGAGGAAAATTACATGTTGATACTTTAATGTCTGAATTCGAGAAAATCAAGAATATCATCGAAGATTAATTCCATACTATTTATTGTTGTGTTAATAAAACTTTATTTTATGTAAAGTGATTCTCATTTTTGTATTTGTTGGGATTGTCAAAGAAGAAGGAGTACAGAAATAAACATTAAAAGCATTGTATTTGACATCTCGAATAGTTTAAACATTCAGAAGACTTAATAATTTCATCATACAATTTTTTCTTGTACGAAAGAAGGCAATTTCAGAAATTGGTAAGTAATCATAAACTACCTAAAGGATGTACATGTAATTAATCATAGAAATGGAATGAAAGGACGAAAAATGCTCAAAGTGTGATAGGAATCTATTGGTTCATAAGTGGCGGAAGAAGATGTTTAATGTGTGGGACCAAATGGGTGGGTTGGTGTGACTCCAGCCTGTAAAGCGTATGCTACCCTTAAAAAATAGGCAGTCGCGTAGATCAAGGTAAACTGCGGTTGTCATGTGTTGAGTGCCCTCCTACCAGGTACTGCTGCGGGGTCGTGGGTCCGACGAAGGTTGGAATTTCGATCTTGATAATGCAATCTGCACTGCGTGAGGCCGGTAAACGGAACAGCGAAAAGGATTCCAGCGGTATGGTGCGTAGATTCTGGGCGCGAGCATGCGCTTCAGCCTCTGACTTGGTTCAAACGGTCCACTATTTTTTTCCTCGATCCTTTTTGATTTAGAAGCAAGAACACCCTTTAGTAGGTGGAAATGTGAATATCTATACTATTTTTGCTAGGAAATGTTAAAGATAAAATATGATGAAAAATATTATGGCTATTCTTCTGAACAAAACCAATGTCATATTGATTTATTTTTGATAACTAATGATTTCAGATAGTAATTAATGAAGTTTGTAAGAAAATAAAGAAATTAAATTTCAAAATTCTGATTTTTTAACCCATGATTAAAAGGATGAGAATTCCTCTGTGTTTTCAATAAAACGCAGTTCATAGATAGTCTCTCGAAATCTTGGAAAAGACGTTAAGAAATCTATTTATGGCATCAAAGAGCTCTAATATTAGAAGTATTCAAGAATTCATTCATACTAAATCAATTGAAATAGCTAATAGTCCATTTATCTCCAGCAATAAAGGTGAAGAACTTAGTGCTTCAGAGATTGCACAAATGTTAGAGAAAACTTTTAACGATTTTTTAATTTCTCCTGAAGAAGCAGAAATAACTAAGTTAGAAAAGAAATCTCAAAAATTAAAACAGACAATTCAGACACGTGAAAATGAGATTGTTAAAATGAAACAAAAATTTAGGCAAGAATATCGCGATGTTACAAATGAAACTGGTAATTTACAAGCTGAATTTCAAAGTATTCAAGAATCCTTAAAAACTTTTGATCTACACATTGATAAAAGAGTTGAACAGCAAAAAGATCAGAGAAGAAAAAAAGAGTTTCAAATGGAGCAGATGCTGAACCTTTTAGATGAATCTCAAGCAATGGAAAAATCAATATCAAGCTCGATGCAAGAATTAAAAGATTTCATTCAGTATTTCCATCAGGGTCATGATAAAATGATTAGCCAAGCCAATAAGATTTGGAATTCTAAGTTGAAATCTGTTATTGGCAAGTTTAAAGTGAATAAAGACGCGATGATGAACGCAATTCAAAATAATTTACAGACAAGAATCATTGCAGAAAAGGCTACTCAAAACAATCTGAAATCAATAGCATCATCTGTTATCGAGTCTTTCCAAAATGTTGATCCAAATAATAAAATAGATATTAATCCAGAAATTTTTGAGGCTCACACTTCTGATATGATTCTTTATTTAGATTCAGCTTTAAGAAAGGTAGAAATTAATGCTAGACAAAAGATATTTGATCAACTTCATGATGTTTTCCCTGATTTCGTTGCAAATGATAAAGATCCTGAATCAGCACTTTCTGTATTCATAGATACAAGTGTTCAGAAGAAAGAGGAAGAGTATAACAAGCTTTTAATGCATAGACAAGAAAAAGAAAACCAATTAAATGAGCAACTACAAAAGGCACTTGAAAAGATTAAAGCACTGCAAGAATCTGTTAGTAGTTTCGGCGGTGATGATAATATAGAAGATATAAACGTCGATGGATGGGAAACAAATCGTAAAATACTAGATGAAAAGATTGATAAGCTAAAGCAATTCAAATCAGAATCTTCATCTATGCACAGTGAGCTAATTGATTCACCATATCATTAATTACTTCTTTTATATGTATATTTGTTTTGTTTTAAATGTTATTTAATCAAATAAGTTATTTTTTTTAATAGTTCAATGATTCATTAGTGAAATTTCCCTGAAACATACTATATGAATAGATAGTTAGGGTTGCAATTCTGGAAGAAGATTATAAGACCGAAAGAAGAAGTTCCGTTTTTTTTTTATTTATTTATTTATTTTTATTTTATTTAAAAAAAAAAAAAAAAAAAAAAAAAAAAAAAAAAAGGGAGTGGGGCTTCCAGGCACTTCGTGCCTTCTAGCCCCCGAAGATGTTTAGTATAAATGAAGTCTTTACAAAGTCTTTACGAAGAAGTCTTAACAAAACATTTACGAAGAAGTCTTAACAAAACATTTACGAAGAAGTCTTAACAAAACATAGACAAGAAAGTTCATGAGTGTAAATGACCCAAAAATAATGTTTATGTTAGAATGTTAGATCTAACATGTTTTCTAACATGTTTTCTAACATGGTCTAAAACTCTTGAATTTTCATGAAATTTACACCAAAAATATATTTTAGGGTAGAAGGGTATATCTAACCTCTTTTCTAACCTCTTTTCTACCCTCTTGAATTTTCATGAAATTTACACCAAAAATATACTACTAGGGTCATTTACGATGAAATCTCAACAAAACATTTACGAAGAAATCTTAACAAAACATTTACGAAGAAATCTTAACAAAACATAGACAAGAAAGTTCATGAGAAATTAGATGAAGAAGTCTTAACAAAGTCTTTACGAAGAAATTCATGAGTTTTCTACGATGTTAGAAAACATGTTAGAAAAGGTGTTAGATCTAACATTCTAACATAAACATTATTTTTTGGTCATTTACGAAGAAGTCTCAACAAAGTCTTTACGATGAAATCTTAACAAAACATCTGTCAAAAACCTTAACCGAGTAGTTTTCATGTTTTGTCACTTTTCTGTCACTTTTCAGGTAAAAACATTTTTATTATATATATATAAAATGAATTTTACAAAACCACCGTTACCCTTCTTTGGAAATAAGAGTAGATGTAAAGATATTCTATTGAGAGAACTTAAGAAACTACCGAATGGTCTAACATTTGTAGATTTGTTCGGTGGAAGTTTCTATATATCCCATTTGTGCCATATAATATTCCCAGACTCAAAGATTATATGCAATGACTTCGACAACTATATGGACCGTCTCAAACATATTCCAGACACAAACAATATATTGAAAGAGTTGAAAGAAAAGATACCTATAGGTAAGATGGAACGTATACCATTAGATAAGAAAGATATTGTCAGAGAGGTTTTGAAAAAAGCAGAATATATAGACTGGGATAGTATATCTGCTAGACTATTATATAGTGGTGCTATAAGAGTTCATGACATTGAAACACTTATGTCAAAAGTTTTATATCTTAACTATACAAATGTTTTCAAAGAGGACATAGAAAAATATATTGAGGGTATAGAGTTTGTGAGATGTCATTGGACAGAGTTGTATGAAAAATATAAAGACAAGGAAAATGTTTTCTTTATAGTGGACCCGCCGTTCTATAACACATGGGATTTTCAATACCAAGTAGACTGGACTTTGAGAGACTCTTTAGAAACTTTAGACGTTTTACATAACCATCCATGCTTTTACTTTACATCCGATAAAAGTGGTTTGGAAAGTGTCATGAGATGGTTAGAGGACATACATGACTATGAGTTTAGATACGATAAGATAGAATATGAGAGAGGTCCTATAAACTGGAGAAAGTGTCATAACAAAGAAATTTTACTAGTAAGTAAATGTGGTTTGAAATAGGACTACTTGTTTTAGGTTTTTTCCATTGTGTCATTTATTTATTTGACGTGGCAGAAAGATATAGAGAATATGAAGATGAACCAATGCCTGCAAATGTCCAGTATATGTACTCGTAAGAGATATTTTTATCTAATATTAAATGGACGCACAGAACTTAGCGAATGCACAGCAACCTGGACAACCAAACCCAGAGAATATTCCAAATGAAGTTAGAATACAAACTGCAATGGCAAACTATGGTCAAGTGCCAACAGATGTACAAATGCAAACTGCCATGTCAAATGACGCTGCGTTAGGTTTGCCACCATGGTATGCAAATATGAGATGGAAAGAGTTTTATACAAACCCGAAGTGGGATATAAACAACTCTATGCAGATGACGCGAACACAGGAGTTGACCCAGAGTATGTTTTCTACCAGAGGAGAAACAGAATGTATGAGCTCCAGTTAAAGAATGCTATGGAACTCAACAGGAAACGTAAGAGACTAGGCGGACATTAGATTTTTACATATAGTAAAATGGGTTTCTTTGGAAGAATAGGAAACTTCTTTCGAAATGTTGGAAGAGGTATATGGAATGGAATAAAATCTGTCGGAAAAGGAATTTGGAACGGAGTCAAAAATATTGGTAAAAGAGTAGGTCAGTTTGTTGGTATTATACCTAAAGACCCTGAACCAGAAGAACAAGCTCCTGTTATACAACAGCCTGAACCTGCACCACAGTCTAGTTGGCAACCAAATCCAACACCTCAACCGTATTAAAAAATTATATTTTTATCGTTCGATAGTAGTTGTATATGAAACTAAGTTCTAAGTAAAACGCATGGTATAATGGAATTATTCTTTTTCTTCCATCTGTAGTAAACCATACTTGAAAGTCTGAAATACTTCCACTTGGTGGTTCGTATAACTTTGTAGGTTTTTCGTAAAAGTCATTTGCCAAGCATAAGAAAGAGTTTTGGGCGCCAGAAAATGAAGCATGAACAATAATAGCAGCTGGTCGAAAACATCTTTAAATAAATATGGTTCATCTCTTGCATATCGACTGTAAATATTTGCTAAAGGAAGTTCGACTTTCTGATTTAACATTCTTTGCAAATAATACCATGACATTGCAGTGAATTCTGTATATATTTGTTCGTCTTTCTTTGGATTGTCTTCGTAGATTTGAAATGACACTTGTGAATTTTGTTTGTCATATACAATTCTCACATAAAGTGTGCTCTCGGTATTTGCATATTCATCAGCATATTTTGCATAACATGAATTTATTTTATCTTCTATATTTTTTAACGCAGTCTGTAGAGAAGATGAAAGGTCAACTTGTATTAGCTCAATTTCTTCCCACATTTTTCGTTTCCCTTCAGATATATAATCTATATGAAACCTTACAATAAATGGAAAACTTTTATCTTCTACAGACACAAACTTCATTCTACGAAAGCCAATAGCTTTTGTGACAGATGGGTCTCTTAGCCATCTAAGTGGGTAGTCAAAACGATAGCCTTCATGCTTTACGGTCTCTGTCTCAAACTTTTGACCGACATTCGTAAAAAGTTCATCTAATGGTTTAGTTGTAGCAACTCTTGAATTTTCTTTTTCTATTGGAAGCATATTTTATCTAGAATAAAAATGTCGAAAGAAACAGCGTCTATGAGAGAAATACAACACAACCGACAACTCATTATGCAAGCTCTAAATAAGAACACAACAAACTTTCAAACTATTCTAAGATATCTGAGTCATTGAAAGAAGGAAACTTAAAACTGACGATAAACCCAATGACAGACGAGTTTCTGTTTCAAGACAGTAAGAACCATACTGTTTGTATAAATCCAACAAAAAGAACTTTAAACGAGAAACCTATAGATGAACTTCTTTTGAAGGCAGATATTGACAACAAAGCTGACAAAGAGTATGTCATTGAAAAAGTTCAAGAAGAACATGACAGAGCAGATGCAACATATGCAACGAAAGAACATACTCATCCTGAACTAGCAGATAAAACATATGTTGACAATAAAATGTCAAGTGAAGTGACAAGAGCTGACAAAGAATATTCTAAAAAGACTCATACACATACCATTGCAAATATTACAAACTTACAAGAAACCTTAAACAGGAAAAGTGACGTTGGACATACACACGATTTCTTCGCAACTGTTGGTATAGAAAATATTGCAGGAACGGTTGAAGAACCTGATGGAACTGGTGGGATGTATTAAATTGGAAACCTCCTAACTTTCCACAAGGTTTAACATCGGAGGATGACATAACAACGATGAAAGACATTAAATGTAGAAATGTCTATGTCATGGAGGATGAAAACAAAGTTAAATTCACTGCTCAAGATTTATATGATAAAAAAGCTGACAAAACATATGTTAACGATGAGTTAGATAAAAAAGCTGACAAAACATATGTTAACGATGAGAGTTAGATAAAAAAGCTGACAAAACAGAGCTTCAAACGTTAAAGACAGAAATACTTCAAACACTATATCCTATAGGCTCTATTTATACGTCAATGAACTCTACCAGACCAGAAGTAGTACTTGGTTTTGGAACTTGGACTCAAATAGTCGACAGGTTTTTGTATTGTGCAAACTCTTCAAAGGAAACAGGTGGAAGTAAAACGATTTCAGGTGCAAATTTACCTGCGCACAGTCACTACATAAATTTAAGTACATCTGAAGCAGGTTTGCATAGTCATAGATTTTGGGATTGGTCAGGAATGACAAAAGGTAAAGGATATGATGTTAAAGAGGACGTTAAGTTTGCTATAAATTGTTACTGGAGTAACACTGAGGTAGGAGGAAGCCATACACATCGCGTTTCAGGGTATACGCAAACAACGGGACAGAGTAAAGACTACATGCCACCTTACATGACAGTTTACGCATGGTATAGAAATGCTTAGTCGTCATTTTCAACTTCTTTAGCATATTCGTCAGGAGTTGTCTTATATTTGTTAGGAACTGTCTTTGAAAGTATACCACCTAACTTTGAAACTTGACAAGTTTGAAACGAGGTCTGACAATAGTAGTTTTATCTTCTGCTTGCAGTGTGTACATTTTGCCATGTTTGCCTAAAACTTCATAATATTCTCTTGTATACTTTCTTCTATTTTACGAACACGAATGCGAGTACCTGTCGAGTTCCCATTGTTGTCATAGTCAATAGTATTTT